CTTCAACAGCGGAACGCGAACGCTGTGTGAAAACCACTGTCGCACCAGTCTGGTAGCTGTGACACCGATGGTACCCTCTAGTCTCATCCCTCAAAGGTTTGCTGAACACGGAGAGACCAATCCGTGGTAACCAACCCGGGTTCCGTCCTGAAAGAAGATGTACAAACCGTGTTTCATTCTCCCGCAGATTCTGGAACTGGGACACTGCTTCTAGCAACAATAATTGTATACTTCTACTTGGAAGCTGCCTTTGACTCTGCGGGCCTTCAGAAACCATGGCGGTGTCTAATTGTCACACAGACAGTGGAGAGCGAATTCACCAGTTGTGCGCTGACCTTTCAACTGTCTCTTGCCAGTAGGAACTTTCAGCACATACGTACGCATCGCGTAACCTAGCGGCCACTAACTGTAAATCAGCCATGGAACCAGTTGAGTCACGCGGCTGTCAGCTACCGGTGTAGAGCTACAATCCAAGAACGCCGTTCCTCCTGGGATACACAACTTGATTCCGATGACGCCATGGCGTGTGAATGCCTGACAATTCGTTTTCCCTCAGCCCCTCGCAAGTCGGCAAGAAACATGCCAATCCATCACCTGCGAAAATTACTATGGCCTATCGGTATCTATCTAAGCTGGTCCAACATCTATCAACAGTAAACCAATACTGTACTGGCAGTGAGCAAGTGAACGAAGCGTGGCAAAATAGGAAGGAAGCTATGCTAGCGGCATCCAGTGCTCTCTGTCGGACTTCTCCAATTCGACCACAAAAAATAAAATCATTCAGCTCTACCTCCCTTTAGGTGCCTGGCTGCCACCTCGCCAGAAGGGAGCACGACGGCTGAGATACTACCCAGTCGCTCAGGCACAGGCAGGGGAAGTCGGTCGGCAGAGGTCGGACTCGAACGACGAACCTTCGGGTCAGTAAATACGCTCTCTGACCGCTGAGCCATCTCTCCATTGGGCCATAAGATTACTGGATGACGTCGGGATCGCTATCCATGAATCATGCCGGAAAATCCATAATGGCAGGCGACGAGCATGACAGCGCACGCTCATCCCTTCAGCACCAAATAGTATAGATCGCAAAGATAGACCGAGAGTTCTGGTGGACATCAAAGGCTCAGGAGGTGGAGAAGGCTTTTGCCACCCGAAGTCGCCTTGACTTGTATCAGCTGATCTGATCAACTGGACCTAGGAAACAACGGTCAGTTAGATGGTACATGAAAAAGGTGACCCATTAGTTCACGTCGGCTGGAAAGGTGGGTCGAGCATTTCGAAGAACAATTTAGCTGGCCCCCTGCAACACAACCTGTGGAGATAGTGCATACGGGCGAGTTGAATTTGAAAATTGATTGCCCGTCGGAAGAAACAGAGTACGAAATAGCCATATTGAAACGTGTGAGGGCACCAGGACCAGACGGTGTGTATCCAACCCTCTTCAAAGGAGGTGGAGAATCCATGGTGAACTATCTGAAAAACATAATTGGTGTGATATGGAGTGAAGAGTAAGGGCCTGCAGAATGAGGCACGTCGACAGCTATCCGCACCTTCAACAGCGGAACGCGAACGCTGTGTGAAAACCACTGTCGCACCAGTCTGGTAGCTGTGACACCGATGGTACCCTCTAGTCTCATCCCTCAAAGGTTTGCTGAACACGGAGAGACCAATCCGTGGTAACCAACCCGGGTTCCGTCCTGAAAGAAGATGTACAAACCGTGTTTCATTCTCCCGCAGATTCTGGAACTGGGACACTGCTTCTAGCAACAATAATTGTATACTTCTACTTGGAAGCTGCCTTTGACTCTGCGGGCCTTCAGAAACCATGGCGGTGTCTAAGGAGCAAAGGCGTCCCCCATAAATTCTTGAACCTTCTCAGGCAGCTGAAGGCCAACTCTTGCTGACGTGAGAATGTATGCAGGAAACTCTAACCCAAGTTCATCACATCAATTGGTACCTGGCAGGACTGTTGTCTTTCACCTTTCCTCTTCAACTTCGTCACTGGTACGATTATGGGAGACTCACAGTCAGCCTCTAATGGCCGAAGGCTTGAATCGTTCTTCGGGCGTCCGCTCGCAGATATCGAATATCGTTGAATTTCATCAAGCGTGGCGTAGGCGTGACAATCTTATCCGTCGAGGATCGGGTTTACAATGCTGCAGTGCGCTCTGTATTAACATTCGGGTCAGAAACGTGGCCGCTGCGCGTAGAGGACATCAAAATACTTCCTTTGTTTGACCATCAGTGTCTTTCGAGCATTATGCGAGTCTGGCGGGAACACCGGAGCTGTAATGCCGAAGTACGTCGCATGGTCTTCGGAAGAAATGACTCGACCGGAGTAGATGAACTGATCACACTGCATAGGTTGCGCTTCCTTGACTACGTGCTCCGTGACCACGAGACCAACTTCCTCAAAGGTACTTTACGCACAACCACGCGAAGGGGGAAAACGAGTCAATGGGGTCAGACAATTACTTGGCAGCGAAGTATGAAAGACTGCTAGCGAACCCAGTTGCACCGGTCATGTCTCTTGATGGGGACCCCGAGCGGAATACGTCAGTAATCGGAAACATTGTCAGACGTGGGCCAGTCGCGCCCTCCATGGCGTTCGTGTATCCACGTTATTACCTTCATTGCACAGCTCCCTTATCGCTTAAAATCTCATTTGCAAACCTGTATCTATGCATCAAATGTGTCAGCTACCGCCTCGAGTGCGCAGTAACCTACCCCACCTCTCCAAATCATCGGTGGACGAAACTGTGCCAGCTATAAGCGCACTACGCCACGTATACTATTTTGCCAGCTGATGATGATGATACCGCTGGCACTTAGGCGCTGCAACGACCAATTGGCCTAAGTCGCACGTATTTGGTCAAAGGACTGGTCGCCTTTCGGTCCACGAGGAGTTTCGATTGGTCAAAACTGTGGGCCCAACAGCCAACTGAGTTTTAGTACCTGCTGGATGCCGGTTGCCAATATCGTGTCCAGAAGGGTCCGCAGTTATTGCTGTCGTCTACAGTTTGAATACTTCGTTCTGCACATGGATCTTTCACTCGAGATTGGGCGGGCGCGGTTGAAAATTGTGATGGGCTATAATGTTTGTTTTGGTAGCTTAAACGTTGAAGAGAATGTGCGCCTAATGAAATTTCGAACTGCCGAAAGGTGATAGCTGACAAAGGTATTCATTACAGGCACTGCGATATCGTACTTTGTCGCCCTTATGGAGGCGTCAGTTACCTGTGTGGTTTTCTAGGTATCAATAAGAATTCCTGGTCTTGACAATGGCTGTTTATTTAGTCGAGTTGTTCGGACAGGCAAACATGGAAATCAACCTTTCATTTTCTTCATGTCTCTCGGTTGTTGATTACCTGAGTCGCTTCAGTTAAGTAAACCGTTGTGGACAAAAATAGGAACCTCGCGCTGGTTTGGCTCAGTTGCTGTAATGATACTGCGGGTCACGCTGCATGGAGTCAGTCATCATTACTGCCAGGAAGGCGAGTAATAACAGTGAGTCGCCGTACTGAATGAAACCCTACCATAGATTGGCTTGGGGGACTTTCACTATACCCTGCCTCATACTCCAGTCTCAGAATTTAACCGCATTATCCGGCAAATTACCTAATATGGTCATAATACAATTAAAATCTTCCGGGAATTTGATGCGGCTCGAAATGCACGTGACCTGTGTATCGGCATCAATACCAGTTCAGCTATTTCTTAGTTCCTGCAGCATTGGGTTAGGTCAGTCCTGTGCGGTTAAATGGGTCAGAATATTGAGTCACTGGATAAAGGTAAACCTCCTGGACCGCTGCCCTTTGATCTCGAACAAAACCTGCATCCCTGCTGTCTTCTGGTTAGCCTTTAGTGTTAGAGAGTAAAGGTGCGACGCCCTAGCCGACCTCCCCTATTCAACATGGGCAACTGCGATGCAGCGTTCTACCTTGAAGCTCTTCACTCACCGACCCTCCGCATTACTTCCATATTAACCCTTCCCGTTTCGTTTAGTTGTCAATTACCTAACCACTACTTTCCATCTTACCTTCTGGCGAGTAAAGTAAACCAACATTGGCCTTCAGGAAAGTCATTACGCTTTTCAGTACCCGCAATTCGTCCCAACTTGAATAACAGGACAGACAGGACTTGCACAATGTTGTTGAGTGAAAAATACAACCGACCCTTGACCTAGTAGAGGGCTATAAAAGAGATAATGAAACTTTTGGGTGCTGTCGGCGCTACTCGTCTTCCAGAATGGGGATCACGTGGTCTCCACCGCACCTTGTTGAAAACGCCACAACATGTGGCTGTTAATTGATGTCAATGGCGTTCTTGTCGCCAATTTCCACCCAGATTGCCTGGATGAGTGTCTGGGGCTGTAGATACTTTGGAATGGTTGTAGTAAGCTGTCAGTATGTCCCTTCCCTGTACACCGTTCTATTCTCTACAATAAGACTAAAATAAATGGTTGCAAGGTAGCGGAACATCACTGTTGAGCGCTGATATCATGCAGTCGACAATCATGATTCCTTTACAATCTTATCTGGCAATTTCGTTGACGGCTCATACTGGAATACTCTTTAAATTACTTGTCTGGCTGCGCCGAACCTTGATTATATTCGAGCACATCCTCCTACTTCGGTGAAACTTTTACGGTTAAGCCACAACTGCCCTTCGCTATTTCCGCATCCCATCGTTTATTCGTGTCTGTTGAGGTCATCTGAAGTGGAACCCCCATTTTGCAACGTGCAAACTGGCTTTGTCCTTGGTTAAGCTTTTCTGTGCTTCTTCGGTCTGTGGTGATGTGATGGATGCCACAGGATTCAACCAATAAAGTTGGGTTCATGTAAATAAAGAAACCAAGCCGCTTAGTTGGATGACCTTAAACTGGTTTGCCACCGGGATATGGGCGTTTTTATGTAGCATGGGACTTGCTGACAGAAAACGCGTTGTATGTTTGATTGAGTTTAATGTTTCTGCTTTCGACAGCTCTCGAATTCTTCTATTTCAGCCGACTCTTTCTTCGGATGGCTGAGTTGTTTCTAGATCCTGCCATTCGATCTTGGGTGTTCCTTCCTCTTGTCATTATCACATTTCTGTTTGGCGTTATCAGGCATTACACCACGATCTTGTTCGCCAGTGAAAAGAAACCTGAGCTAACGACTATCGGCGATAGGTACGCGTTCAGCACTTTTATTCACATTTTAAGTCATGCCCTGCTTCGAAGCCGTTTGCTTAGGGAAAATGGCAAATATATCCCCGTCAAAGTATGTTGCCCTTTGTGTATATAGTGTATCGTCTCATGACAAGGGATTTAGAATGCGGAAGTATTTCTTCAATGATAAGGAGCATGGTTATTTGCGAACTCAGAAACGTGAAAATGTCGCCGGTAACCCCATGACAGGTAAGTAGTTGACAGCATTTTGTGAACCTCACTTGCAGATCCATCTATGGCGTCGGAAATATTGAAAGGGAATGCTCTAAACATGATTCCCATGATTGTCATCGGCAGCTGGATTAATTGGGCATTCTCCGGATTTCTTACAACAAAAGTCCCTTTTCCGCTGACGTATCGCTTCAAGCCAATGCTGCAGCGTGGCTGTGAATCGCTAACATCTTTGGATGCATCTTGGTTAGTTTGAGGCGGCTGTGGACCGTTTATACTTTCCTCTTACTCTTAGGGTTAGCTCGGCCTCCTGGTACTTCCTGAATATTTTCGGTTTACGGAGTATGTACGGACTGGTGCTTGGTTCAGATAATTCGGCGGAACAACCCATGTTCTTAGCTGATCACGCACCGCCTGCTACTCAAGCTCCTCAGGATATGCAGAAAGCATTCAAAGCGGAATGGGAAGCCTTAGAATTGGTGGACCACCAATGGGCTCTGACGAACTGTGAAATGTGTCTCATAACTCAACCTCATTGATATGAAAACCTTCCTGTCCTGGTTTCACTGCTCTCGAATTCATTACTGTACCGTCTGCTCACAGTCTCATTAAAAAAACTAGACAAAGTCTGTCTCAAACGCGCTCTTGGTGAATACTTCTGTCTTTCTTCGATTGGGCAACTTTACGCCGAAAATCGACGTTTTCGATTTCCAATCCTTGGAATACTCAGAACACTTGTTCAGGTCAGTTATTAGGTTATAGGAGAGTGGCCTCTCGGACAACTACTACCTCACTGGTAGTTCGCTGTTGTGAACTTTTTAGTTCATAGATGCCGTCTTTTACGACGGCTAGCCTGAGTTATTGCTTAAAGTTTGCAGTAGATCTACAGCCCCGTATACCATTAATCAAAGAGTTCCGATGACATTTCTCTCTGGTCGAGTGAACGTGTGAGTAGGCCATACAGTTTAGATTTCCATCCATGTAACTAGACGAACGTCATCGACTGAAATACCATCCCTATAGAAAACCCCTCACTTGCAATGACACAGTGATCAGACGCGCTAGCTCGCAAGCCATCAGAAAGTTGCCCAGAATGATTAGCACTATTCGAAAGATGTAGCTCAATGCTGTTTAGGACTATACTGACATATCTCTATAAATGCCTGTGTTAGCAGTATCTCATAGTACAATCATAGGAGGCAGTGTTTCCGGGGGTGTTTGTCCTGATATCGAATATTAAGTCAAAAATAAACTCGTAAGTTACTCCTGGGGCGAAATTCCATGAACGACAAACCCAGAACTAGGTAAGCGATCGGACCCATGCATAGGTTAGTAATGGAGCGGGATTCCTTTTGAAAGAAAGCGTTCAGCTGTAGCACCCTTCCGGTGCCCAGCTGCCATGCCACCCGAGGGAAGCACGAGGGCTGGGATATTGCCAGGTTGCCCAAGTTTAGACAAGGGAGGTCGGATTCAAACCACGGACCTTCCGGTCAGTAAATTCGCGCTCTAACCACTTGGGCCATCTCGCCCCTTTTGAGGGGTTCACATGTGAACACTTACCGCAGGCTTGTGAGCTCAAGCCTCAGCAGTGTCGATTGTGAGTTCGTCTAACCTTTTGTTTGAAGCAGGCAACATTCAACTTGCCCTTTTTATGATGGTTTGGTAGCGATCTGTCAGTCGAAATGTATAAAAACTTCAGAATTTGATGTGCACCATAAAGTACTACGGTTCCATACAGTGCCACAGTACACTACTAATCCTAGCACTAGCTCCTCATACATATGGAGCCTTGAACTCTTGAAAAAAACGTGACGATGTTGCCTGCAGTGTCGAAAAGGGGACCGGTTTGGGGACATGCAAAAGTGTGTTCAAAGCCAGAAAGACTGAGAACGACGGGCAAGTAGAAGTGAAAACAAAACTACCGCTATCGTCAACCCGATCGCGGTTGTTTACGGTTTACTGTAATGGACCTAACCAACGAGACAGTAGTCCCATTTAAAATCAGCAAAACGACTATCTGGCTATTTCCTATTCACATTCAATGCTTACGTTAGTTTTCTGAGATTTTCCGAAGTGTAACCCCGGATAACAGTCACTTCCGAGTGTCGTATTTCACTGTTGTCATGGTAAGATATCCTGTGAGTGAAGCCAGTATACTCCGACTAGTCGAGAAGCATTGTACAGCTGTTTTATTCTTGTTGAGAATCATCAGCAGCGCGCATCTCACGAAACTCGGAGTTCCGCATCCACAACCGTCCGGTCAGTAGTTGAATACTTGATAGCTTGGCGAAGAGTGGCTGATCAGCAGCGTAATTAGCTCCTACGAAGACAGGACGCGGCGCTACTCACTTTCAATGACAGAAACCCTACCACGCAGTCACGCATTGACTGACTGCTCGAGGGACGGCTTCTCAGTTTGTTCATCTGGGACTACTTTACTTTGATAGTGACGGTCGATCTAACAAATTTCGATAGATATCGATATGTGCTCAGAAGACGGTCTCAGAGCTCGAAGTGGCTCAGTGGTTAGAGCGCGAATTTATTGACCGGAAGGTCCGAACCCGACCTCTGCTTCTCGACTGCTATCTAGGATTGGGATCAAAGAGCCAAGAGAATCACGTCGCTGCTAGAAAGAATTATGAGGAACTAGCTTGTAGGCCAAGTTGGGTTAAAAGGCTGTACAGTTATCTTTGGAGTACAGAGCTCTGTGGTAGGATTCTGGATTCGATAGTGATCTGAATGGTATCAGTCTTGACCGATTCAGGAGCTCTCAGCATATCACTTAGAATCTAGCTACATAACCCACAACTTTGAGCGAAGAGAAACCCGCGCGGCAATAAACTTGTCAGGCAGTGATGTAAGTCATTTGTCTCAGTGACCCACTTTCACCCATCCTCTCTTCACCTGTGTGCTAGTGAATTTGTCCAACCGTCTCATGAATTCGTGATGTTTTAGCCAACGGGACAAACGACAGAAATCCATCTTTGTTCGCTGCTTACGTGTTTACCGCGAATTCCACCAGTATCAGTAAATATATCCACGTCTACCTTCATGAGTGAAAAATAATCTGAAACACGAAGGTTTTGAATATCACCCAAAAGTTAAGTTAACATGGTCCGCTAAAATAAATTGATGCCAGTAGAGTGAAAGCTTCTAAGCTCCTTGTCGTCGGGATGTTTGTCAGGATACAATAATCGAATAAAGGTGAGTTCGATTTGTACGTGAGCGTCGTTACATATACGGTCGAGGTCCCATTCTCCTCGGATTGTTTTGCGAAACAAAAAATGATCGGCTATGGGCGTGCATATCAACACGGACACCGTCGCTCGGCGCACAACCACCGGCGTTACGCCTCTCACACTGGTGATTTCACCTCAGTTGGTTAAAAGTCTGCAATAAACTCGAACACAAAACAGGCGAAGCATGATACGACACCACCAAAAGGTGGTGCTGCAATTTTTCCTTATAAAGGCTTAAGTTGAGCCCCACGCTAACATCGTGATTTGCAGCTGGCTGACATGACCTTCGTAGCGGTCGTTAGTTTGTTCGCTGGGTTGAGCAATTTTACTGCAAATGTTCTATCACCAACTGGCGTGACGTCATCAGTGTGTCAATGCGGGCCGGAGCATAGCGGTGGGTCAGCGACTGCTCCCCAAAAAAGGACTGACGATGTTACCTTGATTGGCAATTGTATAGCTCAGCTGACAAACTAACAACCATTACCAACATTCTCCTCGATAGCCAATCATTTTCGTATTTTCCTTTGAATTTAATAATAATCCGTTCCTCTAACTGGTTTACTTTGCGAAGTTTTATTTGGACTACTTGCTGTGGACCGCTGCCGGTTCTCTGACCCTGACCAAATGGTTCTGTATCAAATATCCAAATGCACTGCTGAGATTGCATGGAACGGGCAGGATACTGCCCTGCATACGACAGTTGCTTATTTATTGTCAGCATGAGTAAAAAAGGGTTCAAAAGGCGACAATATTGCGTATGTGGTCCCAGTGAAGTGTATTGACAGTCTAGGAGGTAGAGTAAAACTCAGGGATGGAATACTGTACAACATCTGAGATATTGTTACAATAATCTGTTAAAATGATAATGAGATGCGTAGAAAAACACTGAATTCTGCACATGAACTATGAAAACGTATGGGGATAACTGCGTCCGTTCAAGTCACGAAAACTGCTGTCTGAAGAAAGAATGGAAATATATAGGGCCGTTAGACAACTGGACTACTCGAACTGTGTAATTGGATATCAACGTTGTACCTAGTTTCAGAACACCGAGCAGAAAGGACAACTACTAAAGAAAGTTTTTAGTTATGTCTCAGAAGCCTTAGCTGATTCAATTAATTTGAAACCAAACAAGAGTACCCTGCTCACCACATGCCAGAAGCAAAGTGAGCTCCCTAATTAGCGCCAACAACACGGAAATCAGCCAAGGCATGATAGAACAATGCTTCGAGCACAGATAAACGGAAAGCTTCAACTCAAGTTTAGCTAGGTACTCAGAGCATTGCGTGAGTGAAGAGATGAATAATATACTGTAAATTACTAGTGATCACATTCCTGTCTGATAGGGTTCCCCACTAACCTTCAAGGCGATGCGACAAAATCACAAAAATTCATTACACTTATTTCATCAACATCGGTGTTGTTTCGTACCCGTATGCTTTTACGTGCCATTCCCCTTAGTCATTTAGCCATGAGCAGCACCACTGTTCTAGAATGTGCGTGCAAGTTAGAATGTGTGCTCAACTGCAACCAATTTAGTGGTCACTAAAAGAACTGAAAACACACCCAAGATTCGTGGTGAATAGTAAGTTTTACTGATCTACTCATGACAGCAAACTTGCACGTCATGCGTAAAACCGATGTATATGATGTCACAACTTACTTCCGACTAGTATCGTTGGTGGATCGAACAGAAGCCGACGTACCATGTGACAGTCACTTCCTCGACTTCAACGCAGACAATCTCGTCTGACGACCCGACTGTTTAATGGTTGTAGACCCCTTTGACGGTCTGCCACGCTTGCGTGTCAAAGCTTGTGGGTGCGGCGGTGCGGAAGTAGAGGGAGAGAGTGTTGACGTCGAAGTTAAAGATGGAGTGGATGAACGGGTGGAGGTTTTGATGGCGGATTTGGTTGTTTTTTGATGGGATTTCGGTTGTCTAGTACGTGAAGCCAATGCAACCTGGACAAGCTCTCTCTTTGAAGGTGCTGATCGAACGTTCGGTTTCTTTGATACGGTTGTGAAACGCGAAGATTCTACTCGAAAAGGGGGTGATTTGGATGGCGATTTGTTGAGTCGCTGACACTTCACACGACTCATTGATAAATGCATCGTGTGCTCTTTTGGTGAGCTACCACCCGTATCTAATCTCACCTCAGAAGTATCCAAGACAGTATGCATGCGTTTCCTTGGAGTAGTTTGGTCGGGCGATAAACTACGATCCACTAAGGTGGATGGTTGTTCAGTTCCCCCAATCGCGGATACAGATTCTGTGGCTGCAGCTGACGACACTCTTTTCGGCAACGCGTACGACATTAGTTTGGTTTGTCTAGTGGCTACGGAACACGTAGGTTTCCCGCTAGAAGCAGCTGCCACTGTGGTAGCCAATGTTTGTACCGGTGGACCACAGGATTGTGAAGGAACTGGCTGGGATAGATTGTCAACGTCTTCTTTGGATTCGGACCTAATGAGAATTGCGGTAATAACAATAATAATAACAACACCAAATTATGCAAATAATCCCACCTAAGGAGGCCGTAGTGGGGGCTGAGTAAGTGTCGTATGAAAAAAGCTCTTCTCTAAAGCTGTACTCAGTCGGCGATATGAGGCGAACTCACACAAAACGCTTCAAAGTGGAATTGACGGAGGCTAACCTTTGCCACCACCAAGGTATAGCAGGATCCGCTACAATGTCCATTCTTGACTTGTACAAACAACTCACTTGCCAACATTTGAGTATGTTTGGCTACATCCATCAGAAGCTGACAGTCTTTTAAATGGCGTCTTTGACACTTCTGTGTAGTAGGTCGGGCTCATCAGTGGAAGCCACTTCAATTATACTTCCCAGTGATTCATGTCTAGGGTTTTGTGATCCCAATTTCAACGGTCAAAAAATCGGTGTTGTTGGGCATTGCATCGCACTGTACATATTAGTGTACCCTCGCGCCGGTTCCTAAGTGACTCCTGTTTAAACACCACACATTCTGACGACAGGGTCAAAACTTTGGCAGCTCGACTAAACTTTACTCAGCTGGTAAAGTGAGACCGTCAGTTTTAGCGTGGAAAAAGTTACTCGGTAGAATCACAAAACAATTTTTCACAGTGCCATTTGAGCACATCCGGAAAATATGCTTTTCGTGCTTGAAGAACTTCAACTATTTTCCGCCATGGAATAGTTCGGATTACGAAATACGTAAACGTTACTCAAATTCTCACCAAAAACCTTTAGTGGATGCATGAAAGTTAACTTATTTCCAAGCTATGGCTCCCGAGGCCTAGCTTCAGAGGACCTCATATCGTGATGGTTCACGACTACTTCTATTAGCAGTTTTCGTATTGAGGATATTCGAAAATAATGGGGTTACAGAGCTCATTTCGCTGCAAGATGAAATCGCTATTTTTTCTCATTAGTTGCACTGCTGAGACATCAGACTGGCACATCACTGTATAATGTCACATCACAAGTATAATGTCTTAAGGTTACACTGCATTGCTGAGACAGCATCCATGAACAAGAAAAAACGTAGACATCAGTGAGGCTCATGAAAGTGATCAAAGCGAAAGAGTAGGTTTTGAAACAAGTGCTTTAGTTAAAGTGTACTCATTAGAATGGTCTAATTTTAAGAACGGAAGTTTCCCTTAGTGGGGTTCGAAAACACCCGCTGATTCGCACGAGGGATGACAGACGGGGTCCGCAACGGGAAACGTTAATAACTCAGTTTGTACTGATAACCTTGGATTTGTTTGCTGAGCTAAGCAAAGTTGAGATAACACCATAAGTGTGCTATAGGTGGTGTCGCTTGGAGCGAGGGTATCACTCCATACAAAAAACAGCGTGACGAACGTCCTCCACCTGACTGCAACCACCATACGCTTTGCTTTGTAGACTTTATACGCGAACGAACTAAGGTTTACCATAAGGCCTCAACCGACCCAGTTTGTCCCAAGCCAATACCGAGCGGTAGTTGCACCAAAGTGTTTTCCAGCGAAGTACACTCCAAACACGTGTTTACACAAAACGAAATTCGAGCGTAGGTTTGTTGGAACGATTTATCGAAGTATCAGTGCTACTATTTTTTCCTGGACGAGATATCTGCTAAATGCTGGCACATGGTTTTCATCAATGCGATTTGGTATGCCGTGGATTAGTTTCATTAAGCATTATCGTTGCCGATTTCGGCCTTCTGATACAGAATCCACTGGCATGAGAAAAAAGGTGGGAAGAAGTAGGCGCCTTTGAATTGACGGAATGGATACAGTTGCTCGTTTAGAGGTGAGTGGATGTTATGAACAGCACAGAATGACTAACCGACTCTTAAATCCAGTCGGATCAAGCTGAAGTATTCCTTCAACAAATTGCGGGGTATTCAGTCTGACGGATTTCGTATATTCATATGCAATACAGAAAAATGTTCTGTTGACAAATCCTGATCAGTTAGCCAGCACAAGACCCATTTAAGTTTATAAAAACCTATTATGCTCACTACACAATTTCCAAAAACAGCACTGTCTATTACGTTTTGCTTTTTGCCAAGAGGGGTAACAATATCGATAAAACACGAATTATAGCTATACCTACATAAACTCTGGGAAACAGCAGTCCTTACTTGGGGATACCTTAGGAACACCATGAATATTTCTTATGTGAGTGTTGTACATAAGCTTACCGGACACATTGTGAAACATCATAATAGTAAACTGATCGCAGTTTGGGAAAAGTTGTGAAGTCTCAATGCTTTGGGACAGCGGAGATAACGATGGTACCTGTCTTCAAACAGAAGTGTGAATTCGGTTGGCTACCGATTCGCTATGGTTTGTACTCGTTGGCGATGAATCCTGATCTCCACAGCTGGAGCTAAAAAATCACACACTGCTTCTCCAGTACGGTAACATTTTTAAGGTCTTTGAATTTCCAAGCAATAATGTTGGTATGTTTACCAAGTGTGAAAAGAGGCTACATACCCGGATGCAGCTGGGGCACGTCGTTTATCCTTGAGTAACTCTGTAGGTATCAGATACTTTCCCGTATGGGTGTCTTTTCTAGGAGTGAACTGTATCAGTGGTGTGCGGACGACGTTCGTCAGACTGCCAGCATCCCGAGACGAAGAATTCAGTAGTTGCTCAAAGTCAGGGTTTCTGAATGTTGTCGGCGTGGCGACAAATAGGGATTTCGGTAGTTTCACGTCAATTATATAATCTTTGATTGTAAGGTCGGAACATCGAGTGAGCAACAGACCAAGTGCCACATCGCAAGTGAGGTAGAGTTTCTGAATGAGAAGAACAGGGGATATAACATGTGGACGCCAGTAGGGGGCTTAAGAACAACATTTACATTACCGTTCAAGGGTATGGAACACAAAATTACCCAGGATTGTCATATCAGCTGCAAAAATCTACTGTAATTCAGCCATAGAATGTCACGCGATGATGAAACAATGCTTTCAAGTTGCTCATAACTGGTCGTCAATACTCAATAGTTGAAAAAAACAAAGTAGCAAAAAATGGAACGGAAATCCGGTGGGCTGCGACCTTCAACTTACTGTGTTGGCGATAGGATCTTCCGGGGCCAGTGCATCCCGAGTATGCTTGATTCGCTCGATGATTTTCCGAATAAACAAGAAATTGTGTCCACGTGTGACAATTGGCTCCATAACAAACCACAACGAACTGAAATGAGTAATGAAAAGAAAACTGATAGGGAAATAAAGAAGAGTGGTCTGCTATAGCCAGCAGGCCGGAATTCCCATAACCCAAACTAACCATTGTGATGAGGGTCTTTCAAGGGCTATGCAGTGTTGTAAATCAAATGATAGACTAAATTCAGAGGTCCAAATGATAACTCCACATCAGGTGGCCATGTATTCACTGACTCCTCGACTTCTTAGAAAGAAGTTACACATCCGGTGAAATCATCCTTCTGAGCTGCTATTGTTTCATGGCAACGTTATATTTAACAGAGAGTTCATCTTGTCAGAAGAAGGATAATTTCACAGGATGAGAAGTCGCTGCTGGTGATTCCCAACAAGAACAAAACAGTTGTACAATGCTTCTCGACTATTCGGAGTAAACTGGCTTCACTCACAGGATATTTTACCATGACAACAGTGAGATACGATATTCGGAAGTGATTGTTATCCGGGGTTACACTTCGGAAAATCTCAGAAAATTAACGTAAGCATTGAATATGAATAGGAAATAACCAGATAGTCGTTTTGCTGATTTAAATGGGACCAGAAAATTAACGTAAGCATTGAATATGAATAGGAAATAACCAGATAGTCGTTTTGCTGATTTTAAATGGGACTACTGTCTCGTTGATTAGGTCCATTACAATAAACCCTGCATTCTTGAAGATCAATAGCGCGTTTGGGCGACTGTGGTGCTTGATTTTATCCGACCCATAGTAAGATAGTTGACAGCTAGGCTTATCACTCAGCATGGGCCGTGCGACAAACGGCAAGTTGATTGACGGAGGATTTGCACAGATGGACAGAATGATAGCTTGTTTGTCTCCCAATTAGTTCCATTTCAACAAGCAGGTTTTTCAACTCATCTAGGCCACACTAATCAGTGAGCCGTCAGTAGACTAATTAAGAAGTAAGCGGGGAGCACTTGGAACCAGTAACACTGTCAAAGACAACAGTTCGAAAGCTAAACTTACCAACCTATGGTGCGAAATCCTGTGTTCGAAATGTCAATTGCTCTATTTAGTTATGCGTTGAAATTCACCCGAAATGGTGCGAGGTGCCATTTACCCTCTGGCAACTCAAAAGTGCTCGGCTTCCGTCTTACGAGTTTGGCTACCCATTTCATAGGACGTGATGAATTTTGACAGAACTAGAAAACCTCCATCCTAAGGGGACATGTACACCGCGTGAACTTAATGAGCACATGGACGCGCCTCATTTCATCTGAACACTAGCCGAACGGTGGCAGACTCGGAACTGAATATTACCGATTCTCACATTATCAGGAATCATTGTTAGCCTGGCGAGTAACATTTTATCGCCTATTTCCCAAACTCCAGACACAGGCCCAGAATTTCAACAGAACTTGATAACAGTCTAACTGATGTGGTACAGTGCATAGGATTTCAAATTGCTGGAATACATTCGGCTATCCCACTCAAAATATAGTGTACGGCAAACATCTATCCTCGGGGTGTTTCAGTAAATCCTGAAATGACCGGCCCGGAATACGAGTCTGACCGGTCCGTTATCTGCTTTATATGCGCTGATGAATAAGCCCCATCGATTACGTTCTCGTTCACTGAGCATCAGCAAAGATATCTAAAGCCTGCTCTCAAAACACCCGCACCGGAGCTTCTGCATGGGTTCCCAGTAAGGTGACTTGGAGGTCATGTGTAAACAACCGAAGAACGAAATACCTTGCTTAGCTCGCTCCTACCGAGTTACTAGTTCTCAATGAATTATATCACCCTACCATAGTGCACGGTGGGGTAACAATGGATGAGCACAAACTCAAACGTCTCTAGTCTGGGGAGGAGGAGGGAGAGCAGAAATAAGCCAACCGGATATAAGGTTTCCAGTTAAAACCTTAGGAACATGTTCTTCACTAGTGTGGGGAAAGAATTGATGCATCTTATTGTTGGTGTACTGGACCGTGCAACACAAATTCACAAAAATACAGGTTACATGTAAGCAAACGAGTTACGGGCTACACAACCAAAACCACATTGCTCGTTTCGCTAAGAAATCCAGTGAATCACGACTTACGCTTTGATCCGATTGAGACTGTCAACATCATTGGGCTCAGTCCACTCAGGAACGTGTGCCAACAGGTAGATTACATATGGTAGTACAAACTCAGGAAGAAGAGCGTACAGGAATTCTGACAAAGCGGGTAAATACGAAACATGAGGAGGTGTATGATATGTGTACCAAAAATCTTGCACTCAAAAACAAGAGGGAATGTTTCATAATCAAAACACAAGCAAAAGTCAAGACTAAAGGAATCGTATTGTACAAATGTGCTACGAAAGCTTTGTTTTCTTCTTTAGTAATCGTCTTCGGAAGTAATGGCACTGAACGACAGCTAGAACAACTATGCAGATAGGAACGCTGGTTCTGTTTCTAATGTTCCGCCCGAAAAAAGTCAGTAGATATTAGTAACTTCTGCGACGTAAGCATGAAGAAACACACGAAACCACTCGCCAAATAACCACCGTAAAAATGGAGGATCGGTTACTTACTTGGATCACTCAAGCGGGATGGGTGGCGATCGAGGAAGTCTCGACGACGCTGAATATTTGCGGCTAACAACTGTTTGGCACGCTGCTTAAACATCGCATCCGGGACATTCGGTGCGTGCGCGAACATAGCCATATATTCCAGGGGTAACCGAAGTCTGTAGAGGCCTTGATTAAGTTTGGTCAAGAAATGTGAACGGACTTGGGGACAAGGATCCTGAAAAGTGAGCACAAACATGTGATGTGACAGTTAGGCACCAGTATCTACTGCCGATGCATTGTTGTTCACGATGAGGATGATTATGTTGTACTAATGGTGTTAACCGAAGTTGATGCATTCTGACAAAGTCGTTTTTTAGCTGATCACTTGAAGGAAATATCAGTCCCCCTAGGAAGCTGCTGTTTTGGTCGAACCCTCGGAGTAAGATAATTGTGGTACCATTAAAAGTGGAACGGCTTGTGTGATAAAAGCAAAGCACTTACACGTAAGATGTATGTCATCGATTGATACCAGTCCACCTCAATACTGTCAACGTAACATTGCGAATGGGCCAGCTTTAACCACGACGTGGCGGCGACCAATCGCATTCGTGACATCTCACCCGGTCTGCAAAGAAAGCAGAGGTGATACAAACTTGCACTGGCTGTTTTCTCATCAATTTAACATAGCCGAATACAGACAGAGCGTTCCCATGGACTTATTGTACCAACCACTCATCAAATAGTTAAAAAAAAAACTGGCGATAAGAGCTTACGCGCCAATTTTTCTTGACCTGTCAGATCTCCGTTGTGGATAATGATTCGGTGCAACAGTCGAATGACGGCTTGTGCTACCGGTTTCTCCTCGATCTTCAGTCCTCGAAGCCAGCTGCTCATGAGCTTGGTCGCTGAAATCTGCCACAAGGTAAATATGAGGAAAAACAACCTGATGAGAGACGTATCATGTGCAGTTGTTTCATAACGGCATACTTATTGTCTGTTTTCCACGGTTAACGAAAGTAAACCAATGCAAAATTGAAGTGCATGCCGCGTTGGGAGCATCTTTGAAGACAGCGGTTCCAACAATAATGATGCACACTGCGTTCGTCGATGGTAATGAGTAGGTTAGGAGATCACAAAATCTGTCGACTGAAAATGCTGCCATCAGGAAGTACGACGTCGACGGTCGAAAGCTGGACGGTTGGCGAAGGCATGGTACGACTCATTTTAAGCTAGGATTTCAGCAAATTGTTGCCACTACGCTAAAAAGCATACATTTCCGGAAACAAACGGCAGTAGACATTTTCAAATGAGTTAACCCGCTTATCGTCCTAAGTTAATGAAGCTAACCTCTTTCTCGCACACAACAGGTGGCTGATGATACAATTGAGGAATTCTATTTACCTTGGCACGAGTAGATTGGGGAACACAGCCATCGGGAATCCAGTCAGCTGCTGAGTTCGAATGTGTAGTAGTCTGATTTTGCTTTCGCTTGACAGCATTCGACCGATCGGGCGAGCCAACCTTCCCGAACTCTTCAATCTCTGAATCACGAGCAAGCACGTCTGGGATCAACGATTTGGTGGTAAACTGTTTGAATTCCCGGTTGTACACACCAGGTAAACGTAAGGCGATGCGTCCAAGAGCAGTCAGGCACGCAATATAGTCGGGGGAGGCGGAGGGACATGCAAGACAAACCTGGGAAATTTGGAATAAACTATATAGTTCGATAAGATAAACAACCAGAGTGTCATTATTACACTTCAAACAGAATTTCGATGACTACTCAAGCTAAATGAGTGTATTTCCAGGCCAGGCTCTCCAGCAAATAAAAGGAACAGATATAGGTCGTTGGAACGTGTTTGTCGTGCAGGGTTGTACCACGAGCATACACCATCACATCATGGATAAAATCACAGATGACCGGTTGTGATTCTTCTCAACCCATGGCAGATAGTGTAATGTATTATTGCAGCCAGGAATGCACTTACTTTTCTTGATCAGGCGGTATTAATTCAATGGTTGTCCGTAAAATACACGATAGATTACACTGGGTATAAACAGGGATATTTATTTTTTAGGAGCAGTGAAAAACTGTTGCACCTGATGTAGTTACCACCACTGACAGCAATATACAGGCAATAAATGTTGACGCAGTATGGGAAGTTAATTTCCACAAATTATGAATGCTAATCGCAAGAGCTGCGAACTTACTGTACCACACTGTCATCTACTGCCTCGCCCCCCAAATGGTTTGAGGAACGGCTATCGTTAGTAATAGCGACTTTGATGAAGAAAAGCAGTGCATGTGGCAGAAACAGTCAATCAATTAACTAACTGTCCAACTTCTATTGGGTTTGAAACCAAGTCACACCAAACGAAAGCTGGGATGAAACAAACCTTGACGATCTCATCGACTGCCTCTTTGATCTCCACTTCAGTTGCCAACCGAAAACGTTGAGCACTTTTATATAGAGCCAATAATGCCTGAATGGCAAGCTTAGCTCTTCGGCGCTCTCGACGCCAAGCGAGACCGGCGAGATATACACTACGTTGGCTGACCTCTCGTTTTAGCCTTCCTCGAGCAGGTTTACCTATAGCAGTGTAGAGAAAAATATTGAAAACTGGAGAAGTCCATAAAAAGTGAATGGTTATGTGATGCAAATAACGCCGCGGTCTGAGATACGCTGACGCACCAAAACCGCTTATTTGTTTTGCCCCCACCAAGTAGAGTTATTACTAAAACTCCTATTCCTTTAATCCCTTGATGAGTTAAGAAAGCACTGTTAATAGTAAAGAAACACCGTGAGAGATCTGGGGCGTTGTGGTTTGTTGACGGTGGTGAAGATCGTGAACTGAGATAGTTCTCTTCTTGCACCATATTGACACTGAGGCCTTAAATGAATTCGTCCATCCACAAAGCACCTGGCTGAGATACATTGAAGAAATACTTGCCTTCCTAAGCTGCTCGAACGAACAACAGCGTAAAATTCACGATGGAAACTGAGATTGAGCAGAGAACCCTTGGTTTCTTGGACAGCAAACACTAACCGTGGATTCTCACTGATATTTTACGGAAAACTCGCACATTTAGACAGGTTCTTGCATTATTAGTCCTCGCATCCACAATCCGTCAAACGCATAGTTGTCGGATGGTTGGTGAACCATGTCAGAAAACTATGCTTGAATGAGTTCATACGGGCGGATGAACTGAAACAACTCAGTACGGTACTATAGCAAAATAAATAACCCATAAGGCTTATTGTCCAACAAACGGATAAAACGCTACCCGGGACGGTGAAACGGAGAGATGAGAGCGTGCTGGTCACCGTGGGAATACCCTATAGAAATGGCACGTGAGCGCCACTTGACATCCACAATCCGTCAAACGCATAGTTGTCGGATGGTTGGTGAACCATGTCAGAAAACTATGCTTGAATGAGTTCATACGGGCGGATGAACTGAAACAACTCAGTACGGTACTATAGCAAAATAAATAACCCATAAGGCTTATTGTCCAACAAACGGATAAAACGCTACCCGGGACGGTGAAACGGAGAGATGAGAGCGTGCTGGTCACCGTGGGAATACCCTATAGAAATGGCACGTGAGACGCCACTTGAAAGATACTTCTGGACTATAATATTAGAGCATTCTCGTAAGAGCTAAGGACTTTATGGAACCGAAACACGGAACAAAGCGGGCCTACCAAATTCCCTGCGCGGAATGTCCGGTCAGATACATAGGCCAGAGAGCCAAGCAACTACGTGCGAATCACGGAGCATATACAATATGCGCGTTTTCCTCTATGAGTTGAAAAATTGAACGCGACTCGGTGATTTGATTCCATGCGCTTGAGTCGAGCCATCAAATCAATTTTGATGGTACGTGCTTACTCCAGTCAGGAATCAGGTCATACGTAGCAGGGTCGTGTGTTGAAGCACTACAGATCACACAACCGAACTGTATCAACCATAGTGACGGCGCCAGCGTCCCGCCTATCTGACTTGGACAGTAGGCATAGAAACCAGATGTCAAGTAGGAATCTCAACAAGGACGCATCACAGCCAACGCAACAACGAACGGAGTAACCTCGTGGTCAAGGTTCACACAACCACGCGTACGCGCACATATACGATACACCCACATCTACGTGCCCTTAGGAACATCAATCAGAAGACATAATGGCGGACAAAAATGACGCTGCTGGTATTCAATCGATTGTGGGAATCCTTGAAAAGGGTTGCACAGAGCAACCGAGACTTTGGACTATAACATTCTATCCCACTACGCTGTGTTTTTACTTTATCAGTTTAGACCCGAAAAACCAGCATCACCGAGCGCAAGATCCGTTAAAATCAAACAATCTGCTCTGATGCGGAACCAAACACCCAGGATGCTAGCATTCGGCTAGGCAATGCTGAATAAACTGAGACAGTCGGTTGTGTGTGCCCAAGAGGATTGACTCGAAACACTTGTCTACCTGGATATTAACTTCCGACCACCCTTCGTTCATTTAGGAGATCTTCACGTATTTTCTTCAAACTGCAATGGTTGTGTAGCGGAAGGGTGGTGAGGGTGAAAGAAGTACTAACATTACATTATTACTTGCTACGTAACACCGAATGTGTTTCTCCTCAATAAGATCCCAGAGCCATGGGTAAGTCACCTCATTCTCCGATGCATTAAGCACGAAGAACAGGCGGATCCAGAAAATCGGTGTCTGTAATAATTATGAAACAAACCGTAGCAAAACGGTAAAGTGAGGCGAAACCGCAAAGATCGAGAGCCATTTCTAATCAAACACAGACTTTTTGGTGTACGCTGAGCTAAACACATGAAACAGCAACGCATGAAACTGTGAAAGTGAATTGGACGTTTCATCCCATGATAACTACTTAGTTTATTGTAAACGTTGATATCATGCCATAGCAGCATCCCCACTCGAGATATCGCATCGAATCTTGAACAATGAGAACTCTGCGGCAAACAAGATAGTTGTCACCCCACTGATAGTAAACCTGACGTTAAGCTTCTAAAACGTGCTTGACAAGCAGATACGTAATGTCACCATGGTGTCCCTCTGGTTGCTAACTATGGCATCAACTACACCAAAACAAAAGTATCACACCAATAGCCTCCCTTCTCACTACAGTGGACGAGAGAATACACCACCATACATATGTCGATAACATGTGGAAATCCTCAAACCTAACAATAACAGACGAAAACTAGTTGGTTGGGTAATTTAAGTTCAAAAACGGTATTTAGGTGGGGTCTCACCTTCCTCAAGACGAGCTCCGTTCGGTAAAGGAGGTAGGGTCTGTAGTGCAGAATCTACCGGACAAGGAACTGGTGGGAACTGTCGAGTCATGCCGGTAGAACAGAAGTTCTTCAGTAGGGGTAAAAGATCCTTTGTACAGTCAATCAAATCGTAAGCGGAATCAGTATGAAGTGGATACGAACAAAAGTCAGGAACTTCTGAACCATTATCGCATAGTGGTCCGGGTCCATTAAGTAGGGAGCAAAAAACCTGTCAAGCAGGGGATGGACAGAGGATTGGCATTGAACTGTTCGGTAAGTGAATATAATACAGAGAAATAAAGTTGTCACAGAGATAATTTATGAAGAGAAACCCAAATGGTAACCGGTGTTTTCTAGTCCGATGTGGACGCTGACGTATGGATGAGCTCCTTCAATATTACCGTTCAATTTACGAAGTGCTAAATGGACTTCCCCTCCACCATACGAAACTGAATGGCGTCAAAAATGTAAAAAAACGAATTCCAAAGATCAGGGGTCAAGGTAAGCATTCGATTCATCCGTACTCACGCTTAGTGCCAGTTCATGAGTCGTTTGCGGATCAGCTTCCTGTGTTGTTGTTGTTGGTGCCGTTGTCGTAGAAGACCCGCGAGGCGGCGCCGCCATGTCCGCAGATATCGAGTCGTCCGACAGGATGTTGATCAGGTAACTCGCCAACCCCTCAGTTGGTAGTATTCCCTGTGACAGACATGAAACAGTTATCGAAACACTGCATTTTCCACCATACACACAGTAAAACAATTTTAAGGTGCTTCAAATTTTGTAACGAGTCTACGTTGCCTTGGAATCATACATCAACAGTTCCCAATATGGTCCAAATACGCAATCGCCCGGACAAAACGATATACAAAGGAGGATTCTGGTAAAAAGTTTTATGAGTGACTCCATGAGAGAGATCCGCCATATAAGGCGCATGAAAAAGACAGAATAGGTTTGCGGTGTTTATGATTCGAGGAGAGAGGAATATGTGTACCCTGTAGGACTGCAACTTTTCCTTATTTTCAGGATGAAAGCACTTCATATCAGCAGAAGCCAAGAGGCCAGCGTTATTGTCGCTCATTCCATTGCTCATGCCAGGAACAGTGTAGACCATCCAGCCACTCGAAATTAGTTCTTTTATCAATTTCTGAAAATTCAGTGTCACGAATAACCCTATAAAGATAGTGAATTCGTAATTTCATATATATATATATATATATATATATATATATATATTCCTCACACTGTATTGGGGGGGGGTGGCAAACTCATCTGATGTAAAGAGGTGAACTGCTGATTAAAACTGTCT